AGAGGGATAAGTATAAGCTGTATCACAGTAGTCATGGGAGACAGGCAATACGGCCAGAAGATACTCCAAATAAGGGAGAAGATTAGAGTCTATATTTTATTAATCCTTCTATTCCTCCAAGGTGTCCGGAACAACGGCGACAAAGTTTTAGGCAAAGCAGGGTGTCAGGAAAAACGGGACAATTTGCAGCACTACTGGGAGGAGTCGGAACTGGATTGAGAGTATGGAATTCTGCAAATATCACATCCAGTCCTACAAACTTTGCCGCTAGTACTCATGCTCATAATTACACTATACTTTTGTGTGGCAATGAAATAGATGAGGAAGAAACTTGAAAAGGGGAATTTTTTTGTTTGTTTCTCTCTCTCTCTTTCTTTCTCATACAGTCTTCAATAAAGTTTTACATTGCGCACACACACTCACCTAAATTCTATAAATTCTGTTTTTTTTTGTGACACTTTGTATAATATGTGAATTGACAGCCATAGGAAAGTACAGGAGAACTTATGTCGCTGAGGGAACTATTCCGGAGGGACGGTGGGTTGAATTTCTCCTGTATATCAGGTTTTTGCTCCCACTAGGTTCTCTTGTACTAGAGGGATAACTAGATAATGGAGCAACATAGAAGAAGAAAAAGTGGGGGAATGTGGGGTGATGCAACCCCTATTTGACTTTTCTTTCACCTTGCTTATATCACTCACTATAATTCCTGTGCTCCCCTTTCCTACTTCAGATCTCAGAGTTTAGATAGATAAGAGGGATATATTATTATTTTTAAATGTGCTCAACATAAGAGAAGAAAAAGTGAGGGAATGTGGTGACATTGTCATCAAACTAATATGGTGACCAGGGGTCATGTGACCAAGCTCATGTTTGCCTTTCTTACAGTGGGATAAGCTTTACCCTTTGAAATGGTAATTGGGTAATTCAATACCTTTACAAGTCAGGAGAGAGATAACTACTTCCCCCTATCTCCATTCCTCTCTGTTCCTTCTTGGCTGTGCTACAGAGCAGATGCCATGTGCTATCATGGTGAACCATGTTACACTCTGTTGCTTCCTTTTCTTCCTTGGTGGATGTGATGTTGAACTTGCAGCAGTGAGCCATTACTAGATGTGAAGGCCTAACCGTGGGTGAGATCAAATGTGTGGGGAAGGGGTTACTATATAGATAGATAGATTTAAAAAGGGTTGTTTCTCTGTGGGTCTGGGCTGTGTGTTTGTGATGCATTTATAGTATTGTGTTGTTGCCTTTTAATAAATACCTTTTAATGTAGACGAACCTTGTGTAATATATATATTAATTTGGTGATACACCACAATATCTGTGTGCCAAAAGCAGAGTATCCATAGCAAGAGTGGGTACAATGTATTCCACAATATGTTCTTGGAAGGTGTTGTGCCATTGAATATTATATTATAAATAAATAGCTGCACTCACAATCTTCTAAATTGTTATATTTTGTTGCTTTATTTTTGAAATGTTCACAATGCTGTGTGATAGTGTCAACGTTTCCTCAGGACTATTAAAGTCCCGATCGGGGACTGAAACACTGACACTGTACCACACGGCATTGTGAATCCTTCAAAGATGAAGCAATACAGATTGCCAACTAAGAAAACTGTGAGTGCAGCTATTTATTTATTATTTTTGTATATAGCAAGGCATAGTCTGGTAACCAGCAAATAAATGACAAAATTAGCAAGAGTGCAAACTTTTACTATATATAGTAAATATATATAAACTACATTTTTACATGGACACTACTTTATTTGTGTTATGAACTGAGGATTCATCTGAACAACAGCTGCATCATTTACATAAGTTAATAATACACACCTAATTTGTTTTGTTGAACATTACCAGATGTCTGCAGTGGGTCGCGCTTTCATTTTTTACATAGGCATTTAGTTTAAAAAGGTCCCATCTCAGCTTTTGTTGTTGGTCATAGAGACGGATAAAACACCAATTTGGGCAATTTCCAAATTGAGATTTTGTTTCTACACTCCAAAATAGACATTTCAGAGTTCTCCTTCAATAAATATGTTAATATCCTGCATAGAGTTATAGCCTGAAATTGTGCTTTGCCATCAAAGCATCCAACATATTTTTTTGAAAGATATGTATAGAAACTGATATTACAAACCTCTGTAGGTAGATAATTACAGATGTTTTTATAGTTCTCTGTTAACAACCATTTCCTCTTCAAAATCAGTAGACAAATGATCTAATTTCATTTGTACATGCCTGTTGATAAACAGGTCAACAGAGACCAATATGTATTTTCTCTGTATACATTTTTATATAGGTTGTTTACCCTTCTGAAACAGCTTTTCTCTAAGCACTGAGAAAGAAGCAAGCATGTCAATATAGAAATAAACATGTACCTAGTCTAGCCCAAAGTGTGGTTACATTGTTGGGTAACCTACTAGCCTTTTCGCTATGCTCTATCCAGACTCCAATCTTATATAAATAGCCATTGTTCCTTATAGCTACAGGGAAAGATAGATAGATTGAATAGATTGGAGCAATTATTTTTAATAAAACATATGAGGGTTGCACATAACGGTAGCTTGTGAAAAAAAAAAAACTAAACACCACACAACATCGGTACACATCCCACCGTTTTTATTTTGGTGTAGTACATTGTAACAGTTTTGTAAACGTAAAACAAAAATGAACAACTCAAATTGGTTCCTACCAATGGTTATAATGAGGTAAACATTTTCTGTCAATGACCTCTACATACAAACTAAGCACACTTTTTTCAAATAATTTCAGTAAACACAAGGATAATTATGTTCAATAAACTAAAATGAAATATTTTCATTCTATATTTACATTGCATTTTCTTTTTATTTGCACAATTACTAGTAGTCTAAGAAAAATATAATACTCTAGGTAGCAATATTACATGATTGCGAACAGTTAGTGACATTCTAACAGTAAAATTATTTTTAGGATTATCTTCAAAACAAAACCTTCAAATTTGTATGAATAAAAAAAGACTAGAAAACAGGTTTCCACTTGGCCCCCCGGCAGATGTTCAACTACAGTGCCCATAATCCCAAAACAGCCACCAGCTCGAAGAGAGTTATGGGAATTGTAGTCCAAACAATATCTGGTCTAGTGTTATCAAAATCTTTTCAAATGCCCAACTGTGACATGAATGGGTAAAAGTATTAGTGTCCACTGATGTGGAAATATCACGTCTGACAAGTTGGTGACAGGTCTTCTGCAAGGACAAATGTTTACAAGTGCTGAAAATGTGATGCTTATATACTGTTTCTGTGTAACCTGGTAAATGTACTACTCCAGTAGCAGAAAGACAGCAAAGCTGTTTAAAATCCATCGATTCATTAATTTAATTGCGGACATGTGTATTTAACAAATGCACCACTTACTGAAAGCCATTAAGCAATATTAGAGCAACAGCTGAAGGGGCAGTAAACCCTTGAATCTCTAAAACAGACTACGATGTACTATACTGTTCGGTTTTTTGTTTTATTTGTGTTATGCTGTATTTCTCATTGGAACAATTTTGAGTATTTTTTCCTCAGCTTACTCATGATAGAGATTTAATAACCTTGGTCTTTATATATCGGCTGAGTACGGACACTGACATTCCAAGTGAGATATATACAGAGACAAAGTAGGTCTCCCCTATAGATCTCAATGCTTCATGCTCGCACATGCGCCAGAGTACAGCAGCGACTTCGGCGCCAAGATTGCGGTGCCCGCGAGGGACAGGTTCATGTAAGTTAACTCACATTTACCTGCCCCCATGGCCACTGGACCACCAGCGGTGATGTCATTGTCAGGGGACTTTGTGACTTTGGCAAAGTCCCCAAACAGTGCAGCTTTAACGGCTAAGGCATACCATGTGACTGCTAGGTTAAGAACTGTGGTCATTCTAACCACTATAGTCAGACAATAGTACAGTTGTCAGGAAAAAAAAAAACCTGCAATGGATTCATGTGATATTTACACCAGGAAAATGGGATATTAGTCCTAATTTGTATTTATTTTTTAATCTGTGATTTTCAACTATGTCATGGAGCACTAAATATTGTGAATAATTTCTGTCAGTACATCACAATCTACAAACCAGTTCTTATAGTTAGGGATATATTCTGCGATGAGCAATGTATATCTGCCAAGGTACCCTTTTCTAAGTGGTTCCCCATAATCATATCTCACAGCTGGTGGAAATATATCTGGAGCTGCAAAAAAGGAAACATGTCTGGGGATGGGTGACAAGAAACATAGAAGGAACACAAATAATTTTCAACTGGTTCCTTACACCTGAAACCACTGGAGGGAGACAAGTATTAATTGCTTTGTCCTGGGACCACCAGAATGTACCTGCCTAATATGCTAAGCAGGGTTATTGGTACAATAGACAATAATTTGCAGAATAATCTACTATTCCAGTGGTTGTATTGCTATAAATAAAAATAAACCAACTTAATGTGTGGTTACAAAAATAATTATAATATTTCTTTCTAAAAATTATACATTTGCAAACATGTACTAGAAGAATATATTTTGATTTCAAATCAAGTATATTTGTTCAAATTAATATAAAGCTGGCATACTTTGTTTATGATAGGGAAGAAGAGCACATTGGAGACAGAACGATAAACAACACATACACCTAGAAATAATAATATAAAAATACTCTTTACTTGGGCAAAGTATTATTTCATTATGATTATTTTTAAGATTAACACCTGCATGACAAAGGGATAGACAAGTATCAGTACAGAATTATGGTCCTAACACAACATATATCACAAAGACATCTAAGGCATTGGAAATTAATAAAACAGATGATAACATGTGCTCCCCCTTTTTGATTACTGTAAATGGTTTTAGTTAGTGGGATGATGCAATATATATGATTAGCATTCCTTGGAATTCTGTGAATAACACTGAGAATGTTTAAAGACAGGGTTTTTTTTTCTTTTTGAGAATTCCTCTACTTCTAAAACAGGTCCTCAGCGGTTTTCCATATTTTGGAGAACAAGAGCCACTCTGCATGGAATATAGATCTGAAATATATGGAAACAGTTAACTTCAAATGTTACTGGAAGGCATCTCTGTAAGAACAGAATAGTGCAGTTTAAAACATGTGAGAGGTTGTACAATGAGCATAATGCATTATGTTTAAGGGTAGTGAAATGTTAGAAATGTAACACTAGAGGGCAGTAAATGACTTAGAAAATATATTCTAAAAGGTCAAAGCTGGGAAAAAGCATTACTTTCTCGCTAACATCCTTTTGCTATTGTTAAGAAAAACTGACATATTTGTCTTTGAAACTACACAATATAAAAATTGCAAATTAATTATATATATATATATATATATATATATACACATACACACACACACTCACCAGTAAAGTATAGGAAAATGAATAGATATGTACCAATAAATATATAAAAACATTTTACACCATAATAAAAAAATAAAAATAAAAAAAAAGCTTGTTAGTGATTCTTTTATTAGCAGTGGAGTTACATTTACTTAACCATTGGGAAAGAACACAAGTCTTCCACCATATGGGTCAAACAATTATAGTATACAGGCCAATGCCATTGTACAGGATACAATTTTCTCTAAACTGGTCAAGACTTCCCAATATAATAAAGACCCTATAACTCTAACAACAGACTAACAAAGGTCTTTTACACACATTTGAATGGTATATGTTAAAGTGCAACAAAGCAATGGATTACTGCTTTCATTTTAACATGATTAAACAAGTCACCTAGCTAGTGCCACCAAAGTAGTATCCAGGTAAAAAAAAAAAAACACAATGGTAAAGGAGAATTACTTACCAACAGTGAGTAAGGACGGTTATTGAATGGTAAATTTTCAGTAAAGAATTCTGTCCTGTGATCTATTCTTTGGTGCCCTCCGTACATCTTTAAATCAGTATCCAGAGCTATCATATACTTAAAATCAAAGGGTTAAGGAACATATATCATTCACATATTTCAACACTTTAAATAGACCCCTTTAGGATAATTCCATTTTATTTGCAACCTCCATCTTTCAATTTACACTTGCACATTGACAGGTTAAGCTACTATTTAATCAAAATATGTGATACAACTTCAAGGTATATCTAAATAACACCACACGATTAAGAATAAAAATGTAGTAATTTTTTTATGACTACATTATTAAATAAGTGATTTAACTGATGTAATAACTACAATTGCATCCTCCAGCAATATTGGAAACATACACTATTTAAAAGAGGCATGTATGCAGTGGTGACATTTCCTAAAAATACATGTAATTAGGATTACTGTTTAGAGAAAGTATTGTTTAGTCCATGGGTCGTCAACCTGGTCCCTACCACCCACTAGTGGGCGTTTCAGGATTCCAGGTGGGCGGTAGGGATTTCAGAGATTGGGTAGGCGGGAGGGCGGCTGCGAGCTGGCGGTACCCGTGCGACCGGGTACCGCCGTCACCATTTGCGGCCCTGGCCGAGTGGCAAACTGCCGGGGCCGCCACCCAAGGGGTCCATAGGGTGGCCCATGCTGTCAGGGCCACCCGATGGATGTGGATTGAGAGGGGGCCCGGTCAGCGCTGGGCGCTTTAACAGCGCGACCGGGCCCCTTATTAGGACATCACACGCCGGGAGGAAGTGACTGCACGTCACTCCTCCCAGCTAAAACTGAGAGCCGCGCGGGAGGAAGACCAGGGAGTCCGAGTAGGAACTCTGACTCCCATGCACCTGAGCCACCACTGGACCCCAGGGAAAGCCCCCCTCCTGCACCTAAAAGGTAGGAAACAGGAGGGTGACAAAAATATTTTGTGTGTGTTTGTTTGTGTTTATGTGTCTTTTATGTATGTCTTGTGTGTGTGTGTCTATGTATGTATGTCTTGTGTGTGTGTGTCTATGTATGTATGTCTTGTGTGTGTGTGTCTATGTATGTATGTCTTGTGTGTGTGTGTCTATGTATGTATGTCTTGTGTGTGTGTCTATGTATGTATGTCTTGTGTGTGTGTCTATCTGTATATATGTGTGTGTGTATGTATGAGTGTCTTGTCTTTGTATATATGTGTGCCTTGTGTCTGTCTGTATGTGCCTTGTGTCTGTCTGTATGTGTCTTGTGTCTGTCTGTATGTGTCTTGTGTCTGTCTGTATGTATGTGTCTATGTATGTGTACCTGTCTGTTTGCATGTATGTGTCTGCATGTATGTGTATCTGTCTGTTTGTATGGATGTGTGTGTCTGTATGTATGTGTGCGTGTGTCTGTATGTATGTGTGCATGTGTCTGTATGTGTGCCTGTCTGTTTTTCTGTATGTATGTATGCGTGCGTGCCTGTCTGTATGTATGTATGTGTCTTGTGCGTGCGCCTGTCTGTTTTTCTGTATGTATGTATGTATGTGTGTGTGCCTGTCTGTATGTGTGTCTTTTTATGTGTGTGTGTGTGTGTGTATGTATGTGTGCCTGTCTGTTATAGTGGGCTATAGTAAGTGGGCTACCGAGCTAAGCCTTCCTACTAGGCATTGCTATAAGGAAGGTTATAAAATAGAAAAAAAGGGATAAAAAAGGTGGGAGTATACAATCACGTGGGTGCTATGCGTCAAAGTGGGGGCGTGGTGTAGATGCACATGCGCAAACACACGGGGAGAACGCCGGGTTGTACAGTACACACCTGGGGTAAGTTATTCACTTATATGTTGTTGGGGGATATATATATGAGTTAGGTTTATTGTATATTTGTCACTTTGTCCTGAGAAAGGTCCCTGTGCGGACCGAAACGTCGATTTGCTGATTTGATGAATGAAAGAATTTTTTTCGTATTGGAAGACCGTGAGTGCAGCTCAAATTTTATTTATGTGAATATCAAATTCCCCCAGAAGACTGGCACCCGGCAAGTAAACGTTTTTTGCTATTAACCATATTTAGCTTGAGTGCAAGTAGTTTTGATTTTTTTGTATATATATATATATATATCATATATAACATCATACTAAGTGTATTTTTTATTAATATATACATATATTAATAAAAAATACTTAAGAGTAAAATTACACGTGTGTGTGTATATATATTTATATAAATATATATATATATATATATAATAACTATATATTTTGTATATATTATAACAAATAATTCAAAATAAATTAAGAAAGGTAAAAATAATAAAAAAATATATATATGTAATTTTATTCTAACTGTATTTTGATATTAATATGTATATAGAAACATAGAATGTGACGGCAGATAAGAACCATTCGGCCCATCTAGTCTGCCCAATTTTCTAAATAGTTTCATTAGTCCCTAGCCTTATCTTATAGTTAGGATAGCCTTATGCCTATCCGATGCATGCTTAAACCCCTTTAGAATTAAATACACTTAGAATTAAATTATATATATATATATATATATATATAAAAATAATACTAAATATGCATATGTCCATATACATAATTACCTAAATATACACGTAGACTTCAAGTATATATGTATATATATTTAAATTCTACATGCATATTTATGTAATATTTTTACATAATTAAGTAATTTTATTTATTGCAATTTGAGGGATCTGCCTGACAACCCAGGCAAAAAGTCCAGAGAATTTAATTTGCTAGCACTATATTTAACCCTGTAACTTTCCAAGACACCCTAAAACCTGTACATGGTGGGTACGGTTTTACTCGGTAGACTTCGCTGAAATATTAGTGTTTTAAAACAGTAAAACATATCACAGCGAGGATAGTGTCAGTGAAAGTGAGTTTTTTTTCACACAAAAACTGCACTTTTACTGATAATATCATTGTTGTGATATGTTTTACTGTTTTGAAACACTAATATTTGTGTTCAGCGAAATCTCAAGAGTATAAAAGTACTCCCCATGTACAGGTTTTACAGTGTTTTTGAAAGTTACAGTGTCAAATATAAGGCTTGATTTTCCGTTTTTTCACATTGAAATTTGCCAGATTGGTTATGTTACCTCTGAGAGCGTATGGTAGCCCAGGAATGAGCATTATCCACATGATGGCATACCATTTGCAAAAGAAGACAACCCAAGGTATTACAAATGGGGTATGTTCAGTCTTTTTCAGTAGCCACTTAGTCACAAACACTGTCCAAAGTTAGCGTTTAAAATAGTTTTTTTGCATTTTTAACACAAAAACAAATCTAAATGCTAACTTTGGCCAGTGTTTGTGACTAAGTGGCTACTAAAAAAAGACTGGACATACCCCATATTGAATACCCTGGGTTGTCTACTTTAAAAAAATATATACATGTGAGGTGTGATTCAGAGATTTATGATAGATAACAGTGTTACAATGTCACTATTGATACATTTTAAAAATATATATTTTGAAACAGCAATGTCCTACTTGTACTTATAGCCCTATAACTTTATTAAAAAAAAAGCTAAGCACATGTTAACATTGGGTATTTCTAAACGCAGGACAACATTTTGAAACTATTTAGCACGGGTGTTTTTTGGCGGTTGTAGATGCATAACAGATTTTTTGGGGGCAAGGTTCGAGAAAGTGTGCTTTTTTCACATTTTTTTTCATCATATTTTCTAAATTTTTCTAAATATTTTTTATAGTAAATTATACGATACGATGAAAATAATGGTATCCTTAGAAAGGCCATTTAACGGTGAGAAAAATGGTATATAATATGTGTGGGTACAGTAAATGAGTAAGAGGAAAATTACAGCTAAACACAAACATTGAAAACTGAAAAGCGGTCTGGTCACTATGGGGTTAAATAGGAAGAAGGACATCACCTGCTATTCGCATGCATGAACCGAACGCCACGTACAAAATCACACAAATGTCGTTCGTGCACTTGCGCGCAAACTACATTATACGAATGCTACATTCAGGTGCATGCGTGCAAACACTCCCATGTGAACTTTCCATTAGAGCGCAAACAGGTGAACTACCTGATCTGCGCATGCACAAAAGCACAGGCAGGAAGCCAACTAATATGGCGGTTCCCAGGATACTCAGGAACTGCCGGAATCATAACTTACTATTAAAAAAGACAGAGAAAGGTCATAAAAACTCAAAACAGAAGGAATTAACTTTATAATCTTAAATGAGAATGAAGATTCAGGTAGGAAGGGAATAAGGATGATGTCCATAGTCTGCTATCCATTGGATTACTGCAGATATAATACGGTATGGCATATATTTTGCTACCCCTAGGGTCATTGCAAATTCTGTATGTTTATGTGTGCTTGTCCAGCCTGCTACTCCTTGGATCACTGTAGGAATTAGTGTAATGCCATAGTCTTGCTACCCGTAGTGTCACAGTAAAGTAAAACTCCCGGTCACTAAAAGGGCTTTAAAGGGGTTTCTTCGGGGGTCACTTTTGCACAGTGCCGTATCCTGAAGCTTCCCAAGGAAGAGGCTGAACTCCCTTGGGGTAGAGGGTAAACAACCCTCAGGTAAGCCAAAAAGAAAACTTTAGGGATAGGACAGGATCAAAAAGACAGAGTAGGAGGGGATATATATATATATATATATATATATATACATTCATATATACCTTTATTTAATTAGTTCCTGTCTAACTAGGGATAGGGAGGAGCAACCCATTGTTGTGCTGCCATGGATATGGCCAGAAAAGTGAATATATCACAGGGGTTGGGAGACTGAGACTGAAGAGTACCAAATAAAAACCTATACATACATTGATGTATGTAGAGGTTTTTATTTACTACTCTTCATATATCAATATATATCCATGGGCATATTCAATTGGCATTGACCTGGAGCTGCAACTCCATCAGCCCCTATGTTAACCTGTAGTTGTTATGTTGCTTAGAGTGTCCTTTTAAAACAGCACCCCAATAAAGAAAAAAAAAAAAAATCAGTTTTCACAGTAAAACATTGCACCTTTCAAGACCCTCTCTTTGGGACCTCAATTCTTAAATACTCTTTCCATGCAGGGTATCCTTTTTTCTGAGCTTATACCGCTTGGTGTATGATGTTATTGTACACAGTAATGAAAATCCAATAGCAATATGTGATTTATGAGAATGTATCACAAAGCTCCATAGCAATAAAACTCACAGTTATGCATAGTGTTTATGAAGGTAAGACAGAGCTTCAAAGCAACCTGAGGTGTGTATGTTTTTACCAGAGCTCCGGTAATAAAACGTATGTGTTTCAAAAATTACAGTTTTAAAGTTTTCCACAGCAATAAAGTAATATGTTTCTTAAATAATATTGTATGTATTAAATGTAAAGACTAAAATGTCACTTAGGGTTGGGAAGCATAAGTCTGTAGAAACTGGAAATAAAACAAACATAATAGTCAAAGACA